TAGTTGGATAAACACTCATTAAGTAAACTGACTCTCTTCAGGAAGTTGTCAATTACTAATAGTTCCTCAAAGGTGGCATATCATGTGCAACCTCTTGCTCCATGCTGGGACTCATTCTGGCTTAAACTAAGACAGATATGGCACATAATGTCACAACTGCTGAGTTCATATGTCCAACTGCCATGAAGTGTCCAGAAAACACTGTTGTAATAATGTCATCAAACACCTCTGCCTCTACACTTTGTACCATCTCCATCCAAAATGATCCCTGAAACTTTGAGAAAGAGATATAGTATACAAGCCCCCTTTACTGTTCAACCCCTAAAATGTCTTTTATTGTCTATACCTTGAAGAGCTGTGAGTCTTTGAGTTTATCACTGTTCACCACATGGATAAACTTTTCTGATACTGGGTGAGAAATGAACTGAACTATAATAAAAAGTCAATTTGAGCTGGTTTGTGAAGTATTTTTTTAACAAGGCATTCTTGGAATAAATAGGACTTAGATATTGGAATTGGTGTCCTTCAGAATTAAAGTGATTTAGTATCAAATATTGGCTCCCTCTTCATGGATTATTTGTTTTTATGATTTCAGTGAGAAAAGGCTTAGATCTTGCTATGTCATATGTTTGTTCTTGATTTATTTTTCATAATTTTTGTGTTTTTAAATAATATATTTATTCTTTGAAGTTTAAAAAGTGAATATATTGTATTTGGCACTATGCACTCCAACACACTATACATTCCCCAATATGTCCCTACCACATCTTAATATTTTTTAAAAAAATACAACCCACTGAGGCTAATTTGTGGTGCTCTTAAGTGCATAGATATAGGGCGCTCGATATGAACATGAAATACCTAACAATATTCCTGTACCAAAAAGCTGTAGGAGTCTTTCTCATCTAGCAGACATCAACTGCGAAGAGATCTTCAATCAGGAGTGGGTCTTCAGGACACCTTCCTTCATCCATCCTGTAATATTAACAGGCTTTATGCTATGCATTTTTTTCTATAGGCAACAATTGATATGAGTAAACTTGCTTAACAGTCGACTCATGTTCAGAGGACCCTAGTCACAGAGGACAATTTCAAAGCACTCCACTCCATTATTTAACTTTTACTTTCTACTTCCTCTTCCAGAGTATTTCCTGATCCTTAAGTAGGGAATAATAGAAACTGAGCACTCACAATTATTCTTCATATTTTGATCACTTATGAGTTCCTGTTTAACTAATGCCAGGTCCAAAAAATAATCTCTAACAAAGGTAAAGAACAGCACAAATACATGTGTACATATAAATATTTAGGAGGTGGTTTGACAATATGACAATTTAGTAAAATGACAGTAGGAACCATAGTTAGATCTATGACATCTCAAGCCATGGGTTCCTGGTCAGGTTTATAGTACCAGGCATGAATTCCCTCCCAAAGATAAAGCCTCAAATCTAATCAGACATCACTTAAGTTACCCTATGACAATTGTGCCATTATTGCATTACTAGGCACAATCTGGCCTGGTATATCTGTACTGCAGCATGTGAGATCAATGCAGGATAAGAGCATTATGGGCTAAATCAGGGACTGAACACTGAAAAATAGAAATGAAAAGTATAGCCCCAGAGTGAATTGCAGACATCAGTATACTAAGTAGAGAGATTCAGTTCCGATTCCTCTGTGTCTTGTTTCCCTACTTGGCATTACCCCATATATTTCTCATAATCAACAGATCTTCCTCCAGTAAATATGCTAAGGTCATTCTAAAACCTCTCTCTCTCCCTCTCCCTCTCCCTCTCCCTCTCCCTCTCC